TAGATAGCAGTGAGGAGAGGGGGGTGGTGGGTGGGGGTGGCTCGCACCTGGGGTGTCCGCCGAGACCGGAGCAGGGGGGGCGGGGCCTGGGGGAGCTGGGCGGGACCCGGGACCCCGAGTGGCCTGGCTGGAGACGCCTGGAGTGTGTCGAGGGGGGAGATTGGGGCAGGGGGAGTCGGGGTCGCGTCCGGGGGTGGCTCCCAGGATGGGGTGGGGCTGCCTCCCGGGCAGGGCTCGGGATCTCGGTCACCCAGGCTCAGGGACAGCTGTTAGCACCTGCTCCCCTCACCCTAGGGTCGTCGCCCTTAGCCGAGGGGACCCGTTCTTGCCCAGGTGGGCCGAGGGGAGCGTTCCCGTTGGCTCGCCCCTCGAGGGCAGGGGCCGGCCCCAGGACCCTGCCCTCCCTCGCGCAGCATGCCCTCTGGTCTTCTCCCAGCCCGCAACTTTCCGCCCCATCCTAAAGAGCCTCCTCCTTTGTTTAATTTTATAGGTAAAGTTGTCCCGGGATAGTGCCAGAGGGCAGCCCCCGTGCAGGGAGAAGCGACTGCTTGCCTAAAGGGGAGCGAGCGCGTTCCGCCCTCGCCCCCAGAATGTCCCCCCCCCATTCTAGTGTGGACGCCACGATGGGTTTTACCCACCCCGGTTGGCACCGGATCTGTATAACTGGAAGTACACAGTGGCGTGGGTGAGGGAGGCGTAGCCCGGCCGCCCTGGCTCTCCCCTGCCTCCAGATCCTAGGGAGAGGTCGTCGCCTCTTCAGGCCGTCTCTGTCACCTTTGCAATGTCTAGGAGAGGAAGGGAGCGAGCACACGGGCTCCCCTCCCACCCCACATCTAAATAAGCCCTCTGGTTGGAGAAGTTTCTCTCGAGCTCTGACTTCTTACTTTCGCCCCGCTCTGGGTGGAAAAAAAAAAAAGCCCGAGCTGTTCCATGTAGTGGTGGAGGAGCTCTCCTCCGCAGGGGTGCGGCGGGGCGGCCGCGGGGGTCCCCCGGTGAGCAGGGCTGACCCGGGCCCTGCCCTCTCTGCCCCCAGGGGGAGCTCCTGAGCCCTTGCCGCTGTGACGGCTCCGTGCGCTGCACCCACCAGCCCTGCCTCATCCGCTGGATCAGTGAGAGGGGCTCCTGGAGCTGTGAACTCTGCTACTTCAAGTACCAGGTCCTGGCGATCAGCACCAAGAACCCACTGCAGGTGAGGTGCCGGGAGCGGACCCAGCAGGGGCAAAGGCCCGTCTCACCTTACGGTTTTCCCCAGAGCCACCTCCTCCCACCACCATGGCATTCCAAGACGCCGACTTAACGTCCTGGCGCTAGTCTAGAGAACTCAGAACAGTGTTGAGGATGACAGCGAATGTCGTTTGCTGTACGTTAACTCTCTTGACTGGGTGCCATTATTACACCCGTCTTTATAAATAAGGGCACTGACCCACGTAGAGATTAAATACTGGTCTAAAATTACTCAACTAGTTAGAGATGGAATTAAGATTAGAGTTCCGCCGGGCTTTGGTGGCGCACGCCTTTAATCCCAGCACTCGGGAGGCAGAGGCAGGCGGATCTCTGTGAGTTCGAGGCCAGCCTGGACTACCGAGTGAGTTCCAGGAAAGGCGCAAAGCTACACAGAGAAACCCTGTCTCGAAAAACCAAAAAAGATTGGCGTTCTGTGTTTGGTTTTCAAAGCGCTTGTCCAGCCCTGCCTTTCTAGAATGAGTTAGAGAAGTGGTATCGGTAGTGTCTCATCTTAGGTGTTCAGTCCCACCTGAAGAGTTTAGGGAAGGCTTCTGGAGCCTTCTCTCCAGGGTTGCCCACCACCCTACTCCTCTCATCCTCCCACACAGTGGCAGGCCATCTCCCTGACCGTCATCGAGAAGGTCCAGATTGCCGCCATCGTTCTGGGCTCCCTCTTCCTGGTCGCCAGCATCTCCTGGCTCATCTGGTCCTCGCTCAGCCCTTCAGCCAAGTGGCAGCGCCAGGATCTCCTCTTCCAGATCTGCTACGGCATGTACGGCTTCATGGATGTGGTCTGCATAGGTGAGGGCTCCTTCCCCCCCTTTAACACCTTCCTTTACTCACTCACCTAGCAACCCCCCCACCCCCCACCCCACCCCGCACAGCCTTTCGGTCCCCACGATCATAATTCCACCGCTAGAGACCTGTTAGGGCTACCCTGGGGCCCCGTCCTCCGTAGCTCTGTCTTCCCGGTCTGCAGGCGTGCCCGCGGCCAGGGCCTGTGGCCTCTGGGCCGGCAGCAGTTCACCCCGGTTTTCTCGTCCCCGTTGCCCAGGCCTCATCGTTCACGAAGGCTCTTCTGTCTACCGCATCTTCAAGCGCTGGCAGGCAGTGAACCAGCAGTGGAAGGTCCTGAACTATGACAAGACCAAGGACACAGGAGGAGATACAGGGGGAGGGACGGCGGGGAAGCCAGGCCCCAGGACCTCACGGACCAGCCCCCCGGCCGGGGCCCCCAGCCGGCCCCCAGCCGCCCAGCGCATGCGGACGCTCTTGCCTCAGCGCTGTGGCTATACAATCCTGCATCTCCTCGGACAGCTACGGCCGCCAGATGCCCGTTCCAGCTCTCATTCTGGCCGAGAGGTTGTGATGAGGGTCACCACGGTCTGACCTGGACTCCAGGGGCAGGGATCTCAAGTCAGAGTGCGTCAGCCGGAGACGAGCTCTCCCGGCTGCTGGAGGTGACGGCCTAGGCAAGGCGTGTGGGGCACAGTGGCCCCACCACTGAGGATCTCTGTGGACAGCCTCAAGCTCGGAGACATTGTCAGGCCTCTGCTGCCCACAGGGTAGAGACGCCTGGATGACATTCCAGCTCCCACTGACACCACCTCATACTCATCCTGAGGATGGCCAGCAGGCAGGCGGGGAGAACAGCTTGCCTTCTTGGAGAGAACCATCTTTACCTCAGCTCTAGGGCCTCCAGTCCCCTGGCTCCACCATGGTGACTTGGTAAAGGGAGACCAATGCCAGAAAAACAGGGGCTGTAGACCCCCCCCCATTCCCCACCCCATGGCCACAGGGCATCTGGCAATAAGACTGGTAAACATTGACCTCCCGTTCCCTGCATGAGGGCGGGGGGACTTCCCCCCTGCCCCACCCCCCATTGCATGGGGGAGGGCATAAAGAATCATTTATATGCACGTGGAGACTCCTTTCTCATCTGGGGCTTCTCTGAAGGGCTGGGGGGGTGCGGGGAGGTCCCCCAGCACAGGTTGACAGTCCCAAGTGTAGCAGCGCATTTGGAGCTGGTGGAGGGGCTCCTGCTGGCTGGTGAAGAGTTCCCACTGGCTGCTAGGTGCCAGGGCTCGGAGGGGGCTGAGAAGGGTAGACTCTGCCACCTGTGAGTTCTATGATTTAGGAAAAAAGACAAATCTGAGCTTTTTTTTTTTTTTTTTTCTCTTTCTTTTTCCTGTCTACCTCATAGACTTGGAAAGAGGATATTGAGGGACGGGTTAAATGCTATTACAAAGAAAACTGATCATGGTATAAAGAGAGTTCTGGACTAGTTGCTGGTCCACTTATTTCAAGCAATAGGTGGGATAGCCGATCCCAAAGTCTGGTTTTTTTGTCAGAAGCGGCACAGAACTTCAGCGTTTTTTTGAGTGAGAAAATAGATACTGAAACAAAAGAGGAAATAGATACAGTAACTGTGCAGGACAGTGGTTATTGTAGGAATGAGAACACTTTTGACCCTCCAAACATTGGACATGGTGTGTGGGGGGCGGGGACGACTGATACTGTAGCCACTCAGCCTGCTCTAAGAACACCTGTGTTCTATCAGTCCTTTCTAGGTACTGTGTCCCCCACCCCCCAAAAATGGTGTGCAATGGACATGGACTCGTTTTGCGTGACAGGGGAGGAAACTCCTCCCTCAGTGTTGTGTCTTTAATTCCAGTTGAAACTGTGGCCGGTCAGGGTCACAGGTCTGATCCAGGTGTGTGCCCAGCTGGAAGGTAGAAGCATAGGGGAGCTATTGTTTATTAGGGAAACGATTTGGGAACTGTGGGTCCGAGGGCTGGGGGCGTGGGTCAGTGGTAAGAGGTCTTGCCTGGTGTGCATGAGGGTCCCGGGTATAACTCCCATACCACCAGAAAAAGTATGTGGTCAGCTTGAAGCTTGGTCCCTTTCTCCTGAAGCCCGGTGGCTGGGTATTATATGAACGATGGTGTCTTTTAAGTGAACCATTAAAAAAATTCCTTCATACATTGCTAAAGTCAGATCCAGAGGCCTTTCTTACTACTGGACCTGTAATGGAAGGTTCTGTTCTGCCCCCTCTTGGGGGAGGTTGGGAAAAAATGCTTGTCTTTTAACAGCCCACCTACCCTGAAGCCTTCCTCCATGCCTCTCCAGAAAAAAAAAAGGTGGGGTGGGAGGTCCTTTGGCTGCTGTCCATGGTGCTGGCATCCTTGTTTGGCTGTGCCGGGGGTCTGACTGACTTCCAAGTGAGAAGGTCCTGAGGGGATCGGGGTGAAGAGGGAACCGATGCAGAGCTCTCCAGCTCTCTCGTAGGAAATTTTTACCAGAGACTCACCCCTCTATTTCCTCCCACCAAGGGACGGAGGGGTTTGACCTTATTGATTGGCCGTTAACAGAAGAGTTGGTGGCGATCGGATGGGGAACAGAAAATCAGTGATTGCTAATGTCTGTCCTGGCAGAGAGGACTCGGGTAGATAAGTCACACATGCGGCTTCTGGGCCAAGCCTGTTCCTTACGGCGGCCCTTCATGGAAGCTTGGGCATGCTTAAGAACACACACACATATATCCGTGCGCTCTGAGTCCCAAAGGCCTATTTCTTTCTCTCCTTCAACACCAACGGAGGTCTTGGGATGGGGCCCACGCGCAGCTATCAATATGATCTCTTGCCTGTCTCCGAATTTACACAGACCCTTGTCCAGGAAAGGGGTCGTGGGCACTCTTGTCTCTTCAAAGCAGCATTTCTGTCACTGGACAGCACAGGGGTGTAGATCCCTTTTTGACTCCAGGGAAACGGGTCTCATAGCTTAGGCTATACTCTCCCTTCTGGCTCCGATCTGCGAAACCTCAGGTATTTTCCGTTCAAGTTAAACTTGGTGGTGGGTGAGCAGAAGCGGATACCGAGGTCACAGAAGAGATGGGGTGGGGGGGGGGCAGTAAGGAATGTACAGAAACCTTCTCCTCGGTCTCTGCACAAGGCTTCCAGGCATGCATGCCGTGCTTCTCTAAATCATGCATGATTGGGTCTCTGTGGGAAGTCTGCTGGCTGACGGTTTCTGTGGTTAGGGGAGCCATGTCTTGGATGGGGCAAAAGGAAGTGTGAAGGAGCTAATTGGAGGGAGAGGGAGGAAGGAGGGAGAGGCAAGCCCTAGCATGGGGAGGGTAATCTGGGGTACAGGGGGAGCTGTGCACAGTGCTGAGAGATTCATTGGGATGGAGGATGAGTTCATCCGTAGACATCACAAGGGGAATACTGTGTGCAGCCCATGAGGGTGGCCAGAGAGTGCTGACTCAGAGAAACAGAGGTTCTCTTGGCCTGGCTCCTTCTCCTGCCCCAGTCCCCCGGGGCTCCTGGTCCCTTCTCCTTCCCCAGGCCCCCGGGGCTCCTGTCCCCTTCTCCTGGCCCAGTCCTCCAGGGCTCCTGGCCCCTTCACCGTGGGCTTTCATCCTGCCTGGCTGACTCCCTCTCCCTGCCTGAGTCCCTGTCTTTGAAGGAGGGTAGAGTGGAAGGATGCCCTTCCATTCTGGTAGTCCGAGTTCCAAAAGCTCTTTTCTCACCAAGGGTCAAGCTGCCTCTAACCCAGCTCAGCAGAACGCTTAGCACCCAGACCCATGTTACAACGTAGCTCCTACCCTCACTGTTCACCACCACCTCTTAATCTTTTCCAGGAAGCTAGACAAGACTCGGCGGTTCCCACTACAGACAGAAACATGTCTGGGTTTGTCATGAAACACTCTTCCAGAGGGACGATCCAGACCTCCCATCGTTAAGGGAGTTATTTCCAGGACCTGAGAAGTCAAGGGTGGGAGATGGGGGTCAGAATCTTGCCAGGAGTGGGAGAAAAGTAAACCCAAAGCCAAGGAGTAGACATTTTATTTTAAAACTTAATAATATATAAAATTTTTTTCAATATAAAAAAGAAGACAGGCTGGGGGCATGGGGCAAACCAGCAGATGGGAAGTAAGACGTGGAGCAGACCCACTTTAGAGCTAAGGGGAGCTTAAAAAAATACCGTAAACTAGGCGAGGGCAGATTCATTTTCCTAGGGGCAAGCTGAAGAGAGAGAAAAGGGTGGGCAGAGCCTGGTGAGGCTCTCCCTTCTTCCACAAGGCCTACATTCAACCCGAGAATCTACGTGGTGCTGCAGAGCCAGAGACAGACCCTGAAGGGATGGATAAAGACTGATAAAGCTGGAAGTGGTAGTCCATGTCTATAACCCCAACACTTGGGAAAGTGAGGCAAAGAAGGTTGTGAGTTCAAGGACAGCAAGAACTATATAACAAGACTCTGTCTCAAAAAAGAAAAAGAAAAAGAAAAGAGCAAATCCCAATAGACCGAGAAGGCTTCACCACTCTTCTCAAAAAGCTCACATGCTTAGAAAGAGACCAGGCACACACCAGATGCACGATCAGGGAACGCATGCTAAGGTCAATGCTTAGCCAGGGCATCCGTGAACACTGTAAGCACGGGAGGACCGGTGGCTGAATCCCTCCCCAGGCCCCCCAGGGTTATTAGTCAACATCTGAGTTGGCCCTTTAAGGATGTGTTAAGATCTGATGGCTCTGGGCCTTGAGGAATGACCAGGAGAAGTACTGAGCAGGAGAAAGGATCACGGTTCTGTGAGGACCCACTGAGTCAAGCCAAGTACACGCTTTACACATAGGTCAGGTCCTACGTCCTGAAGTTTGTTCAGACAGACAGGCCACAAGGGGAAGTGTGCCTCTAGTGCCTAATAATGTCCCGTTAGGAGAGGGCGGATGACATTGGCTTCCTTCCTTCCATACGACTATCTGTCTACGAACTGTAGGTTGATGCTCTTCTCGGGTACCAGGACAGTCCGGGTCATGGGTCTGACTGGGAGAGCACCTGGCTCAGGCAGCACCTCAAAATGTATCAAGATCTAGAAGGGGAGAAGAAGGTTATCACGATGGGTGTGTCTGGAGTGGGTGCCTGATCGGTAAAGAACATTGTGAGCATCCGAACGGCAACTGTTGGGGTGGCTGGCGTCTGTGGCCAGTGAGGGCCTTCTTGAACAGGGCGGTGGCGGCGCACGCCTTTAATCCCAGCACTCGGGAGGCAGAGGCAGGCGGATCTCTGTGAGTTCGAGGCCGGCCTGGTCTACAGAGTGAATTCCAGGACAGGCTCCAAAACTACACAGAGAAACCCTGTCTCAGGGAAAAAAAAAAAAAAAAAAAAAAAAAAAAAAAAAAAGAGGCTTCTTGATCAACGAGGGAGGACAGGAGGAGGATATGGAAGGAAAAGCGATAGTCCAAACATCTTGCTTATACTCCAGGCCTCTGTCAGCGGGACTGTCTGCTAAGCTGTGTATGTTTTGCTCTGTTTGGCAGAGGACGAGAACACCCATGATGACTGGGCCTTTCCAGTCAGGGCACGGCAGGAGCGCTGGACTACTGACCTGGGCCAAAGCCATTTGTAGCTCCAGCTCGGCCAGGCGTCTCCCGATGCAGCTGCGTCTGCCAAAGCCGAAAGGAAGGGACGCAAAGGGGTGCGGGGCTGGGCCTCCCCCCAGCCAGCGAGCTGGATTGAAAGAGTCCGGCTCCGGGAACTGCGCAGGGTCCCTTGAAGTGGCGTAGTGACAGAGGGAGACCAGCGTCTGGTGGGGGGATAAATGCAGATGGGTCAGTTCAGCAGCCAGGTTTAGTGTCCACACGTGCAGTGCTGGCCCTCGGGAGACAGAAGCAGGAGGAAGGTGAGGTCAAGGCCAACAGAGGTTATATACCCTCCCCCTCCCCTCAAAAGCAGAGTTATGAGTTTGAGCCCGAGAACGCGGGGTGGGGGGGTATGAAGAAGAGGGTCTGTGGACTAGTTTAAAATTAGGCCCTGGTTGGTGGTGAAGAACTTTCTTTACTATTCCATCGTATCTTAGGAAGAGGCATCTTGATCAAGGGGGGGGGGTCTGGAGAGGCTTTGGGGAGTGTATGAGGATGGCTTGGGCCCACGGGGGTAAGGAACGGCTGAGCAGAAGGATCGACTCACATTTTTGGGGATAATACAGTCACCTACTCGGATGTCTCTGTCTGGGACACGGGAATTCCCAGGCACCACAGGGTACAATCTAGGTCACCAAACAAAAGATGGCTTCAGCAAGGTGAGGCAGGGGGGGGGGGAGGGGGGGGCACAGCTCCTCCTCGGGGAGCAGAGTGCCAGTTTTCTCTCTTCTCGCTGTCCGCTCCCATCCACGGTCAGCTTCAGTCCTCCTCTAGTGTTTTCTCCAGTTCCTTGGCTTCTCCTCCCCCTCACCTTAACACCTCCTTGATCACAGCCCTCAACAGACGGAGCTGGGACAAGACCGCGGCCTGGGGGTGGGCGCGGGAGCCAGGGTCCACGGCAGCTGTGATCTCGGAGTGCAGCGCAGACTGGACATCGGGGTGCCGGGAGAGCTCATAGAGCGCCCAGGAGAGCGTGTTGGATACCTGGGGGAACAGGGGAGCTACCTCAGACGTGGTAGGGATCCTGGGGAGGGAGTAGGATAGGGAGGTGGTGGTCAGGGACCAAAGAATTACTAAGGCCAAGCCTGTACCCGTGACCAGGGTGGATGCCCTGAGTCAGAAAAGTGGCCCTAGAGCCGGGGGAACCTACCCTCCGGAAATGGGACCAGAGAGAACCTCACCGTGTCCACTCCGGCCAGCAGGAGCTCTGTCACGTTCCCCACGATGGACTGGACAGACAACTTCTCCCGAAAAAGGAAGTGGGTTAAGTGATGCCCAGACGGCACGTCCTCCTCAGTCTTCCCCTGTTTCCTCACGTCTGCTTCGCTTTCTCGCTGCTCCACGTGCTTCTGGGCTGAGAAGGAAGGCACACCGACGCCTCACGATGCTGATGCGGCTTTGGCTACTCCAGCACCGCCCCCTCCACACCCCCACCCCTCACCCCCACACTTCTGTGCCTTACCAAAGGCAAACATCTGGTTCCAGTCTCGGCAGAGGCGGGCCCAGGGTCCGGGTACAAGGCGGTGCATCCAGTTGGGCATCGCCATGGTCAAGAGTGTGGACACGAACACCGAGCCCACCGCGTGGATGAAGGTCTCGGTGTCCGCAGGTACTTCGGCCTCCAGGCAGCCGAGGCGTGAACCCAGCAGCACCGCGCCTATGCCTGGCCGGAAGGGGGCGCAGTCAGACATCGGGCGTCTCGGGCTCAGAGCCACCCACACCTGTCCCGATCTCCGTTTTAGGGATTCACCTTCTAAGCCAAATTTGTAAAACTCTCCCGCCACGTCCTGAACTAGGTTGGGTAGCCCAGAGCCACGTCCCCGCTGGCGCCTGAGTCGTCGCACAAGGTCACGGACCACGTTGTCCAGAGTTGCGGCGTAGCCCGCGGCTGCTTGAGGCCGGAGGAGCAGCGGGGCCAGGAGGCTTCGGAGTCTCTGCCATTCTTCCCCATCCCTGCCCGGGTGCAGAGAGGGCGCCACCAGGGAGGTGAGCGTGTGTGGAGGACGCCAGGGCAACCAGAGGGTATTGCGCCTGTTCCCTCGGGGTGGAAGAACCTGCCCCTGCCCTCGCCCGTCTTCCATCTCCCTTCCTCTTTACTCATTTCCTGCCCGTGGATGGGAGTGGGTTCTAGGGTAAGCGGCGTCACAGATGCTTACACGCCATCCAGATGCCAGTAACACTCGCCTACCCCACGGATTCTTAGGATTCAAAGGTGGGGCGAGGTGGGGAGGACTCGGCTCTACCTGAGTTTGGATAGTACAGACTGGAGAACCCGGGGATGCCAGAAGGTTGGTGGGAACGGCCGACCTCCCTCCAAGCCCAACTTGGCTGGATACAGGAGTCGGGCAGGGATGGAGGACTGGAGGTCAGGGGGTCGACTCACGCTGTTAGCAATCCCGGAGCCCGCTGGTAGCGGCGACGGTGCTCTGCCCAAGAGGAGAAGCTGCAGCGCTCTGGACAGGGACTCTCTTGCCGCAGTAGCTGCTCTACAAGCGCAGGGCAGGCCACATACACTGTGCGAAGTGTCCCGAAGCTGCCTGACCATATTGGCCCGTAGCGCGCAGCTCCCTGCACCTGAGAACCCGCGAGGAGGACATCTGAACACCTGGGAGGGTGGCTCTCAGTTTGGCTTGTGACAAGGCCAAGGGCGGTGGCTAGGCTTGGTTAAGGGGAGCTTTTCCAGGGCCGGCCCAGATGCGGCAAACTTTTTCTTCCACCCCATGCAAGTTTGAGCGGGAATGGCAAAAACAGATTTTGCTTTGCATAAAGCAGACATTTAGGACTTCCTTTCAGTTATCTGGCTCTAGCCTAGGGGGAGCCGTTTCTTCGGGGCTCCTCTGCTAGATTGCACCTCAAGAGGAGCCTCCAGGAAAAGAAAAGGAACGGAGCTTTGAGCCGGACCTGCAGGGTAGCACAATGCTCTCCTCCTGCACTGCACTGTTGTCCTGGATCTGCAGGGTTTCCTTTCTATAAAGGGAGAGTACATCCCTTTGCCGGATGTAGGGTAGTAAAAGTCTCCAGTTCATTACCCACAGGTACCCATTCTCACTGGCTCTCCTTTCTGTAGTCTTCACCATGGTCCTTTCTGCCAGTTCTCCCAGCTCAGTCCCACCAATGGCGAGGACAACCCCTCTTACCTGCAGTTCATGTAGCCGGGACAGCCCACTTTTGCAGAAAAGTTCTGCCAGGAAGCTAGGCATAGAGGGCCCGGGGATGTCAGACAAACTCCGGAGAACTGAGTCAGAGCCTCTGGAGGTCAGCGAGGAGGCGGCGGCATCCAGCTGTGGAGGCCGGTGGACCCGATGGAGCACCCTGGAGGCGAGCTTAACTGCCTGGGTCATGCCTTATGTTCGGGGAGTCAGCCGCACGTCTCCAGAGCATCTTTCGCACTTGCCTGAACCCCTTTATAACCCTTGGCCCTGAAAGGGGAGACGCCCTGCCTCTCTCCAGCTCTTCAGCCAATCCCTGTTGCAGGGTGGTCTGTGCTGGATGGGGTACGCACCCACCAACAGTGGGCGGGGCTAGGCTGACTCCTGGCTTTTGGGTCTCCTGTGGTACCGATTCCTATTAGCGCTCCTGTCTGGCCCAGAGGCAGCAGCCTAAAGCAGCAGTCCTCTTCTGGGAAAGGCTACTTAGGCTGGATTTCAGAAGGCAGTACCTCATGTCCTTCTCTTCACTTCTCTGGGGAGCTAAGTCTTTTCGGGTCCAATCCTCCATTCTCTATCACACCCTGAGTGGGAACTAGGTAGAAGGTAGTTCCAGCTGTCCCCATCCTCTGGGCTCCTGGCCTTGCCCCTTCTGTTGTGGGGATTACCAGCACTGGACACAACTCTCTCCTCCTTCGCCTAACACGCAGAGGCAGGACCACACGGGGGTAACGGGTTAAAACGGTACCAGCCACCTTCATCTTTTTTTTTTTTTTTTTGTGTATGTTTTTTATGTACATGATTTGCCTGTATGCTTGTGTAACATCTGTCTGGGGCAGTGGAAGTCAGAAGAGGGAGGTGGATCCCCTGGAACTGGAATTATGGGAACTGAACCCAGGTTCTCTACAAGAGCAACAAGTGCTCTTAACCATTGAGTCATAGCTCCAATCCCCACCCCCACCTTTTTAAAAGATTTTTAAACCATGCACACGCATGTTGGTGTGTCTGTGTGAGTGCATGTGTGCACAAGAGTGCAGCTGCCCAGAATCCAGGAGAGGACACAGGTCTCCTGGAACTGGAGTTACAAACAGTGGTGAGCCAGCCACCTTGGGTGCTGGGAATTCATCTCGGGTCTTCTGAAGAGTGCTCTTATCCACTGAGCCATCTCTCCAGACTCCATCTTTGTTTTTTGGGAAAGGGAATTTCTTAGCTCAACAAGCCACTTCCTTTCAGACATGGGAATAGGGTTTAAGAGAAATGAAGGAGTGTCTTAGGGCCAGCAAGATGGCTCAGTAAGGAAAGGTACTTGACACCAAGCCTGATGACCTGAGTTTGATCCCAGTGACTCCAACACAGTGCTCTTCCCATTACACACACGCTTGTGCACACCCTCACCGCCTGCACACACAGAAGTGTAAATAATGACAATACATGTCAGGTGGTGGTGGTGCACACCTTTAATCCCAGCACACAGGAGGCAGAGGCAGGTGGATCTCTGTGATTTGAGGCCAGCCTGGTCTACAGAGTGAGATCCAGGACAGCCAGGGCTACACAGAGAAACCCTGTCTCGAAAAACCAATAATAATAATGATACAAAGGAGGTTTTTGTTGTTTTTTCTTTTTTGCAAAGTATGTAAGTTTGGAGATTCTGTCTTTGGACAGAATGAAAGTTAAGCACACACTCTGAACCCCAAGCTGACTCAACCTCTTTTGGGTACCTTTGTGGTCAGCAGCCAGTTACTGCTTTGAGCCACAGAATCCTCCAGTTCAGTGGCTGGAGAGACGGCTCAGTAGTTAAGAGCACTGGCTGCTCTTCCAGAGGAGCAGGGTTTGGTTCCCAGCACCCACATGGCAGCTCACAACCATCTGTAACTCCAGTTCCAGGGAACCACTTCCCTTTTCGGGCCTCCAAGGGCTCAGGCACGAGTGTGGAGCACATACCTATACGGAAGCAAATACTCATAAAATAAAGAGAATTAAAAACAATATTGCAGTTTAGCGCCCTGCTCCTCTGCCTTCCCTCCCCCTCCCCATCAGGCACTATGCCAGTCAGTCAGCCTGGAGAGTCTGGAGTCAAAGGTCAACACGGTAAAGCAAGGGTGTCTGCCCTCGTGCCCTCAGCACTGCAGGGACAATGGTGGTAGCACGGGACGGTCCAGGTCAGATCTCACACAGGGAGAAGACGGAGGAGGCACGTGATACACCCCCGCCTTCCCGGGGACAGCAGCGTGGGCACACGGGCACACACATTATCCCCAGGACTGCAAAGTAAACACAACGGGGTGGGGGTGGGGACCGAGCCAACCCACAGCTTAGACAGAGGGTCGCTGCACTCTTCCCTCCGGCTGAGGAGAACCCCACAAGGGGAGGGAGCGCTGAGGGAGAGCAAATCCCCACACCCTCCAAATACACCCTCTGGTCCAAGGTCCTCTGGCCTCTCCAGCCAGCCTCTTGTGCTTTCTTCTGACAGCGGAGGGCTGAGAGAGCAGTGGTCAGCGATGGAGACCGCAGGCCGCACGTCTCGGAGACCGAGGCCTCTGCCCCCCCAGTCTCGGAGATCGAGGCCTCTGCCCCCCCAGTCTCAGAGATTGAGGCCTCTGCGCCCCCAGTCTCGGAGATCAAGGCCTCTGCGCCCCCAGTCTCGGAGATCAAGGCCTCTGCGCCCCCAGTCTCGGAGATCGAGGCCTTTGCGCCCCCAGTCTCGGAGATCGAGGCCTTTGCGCCCCCAGTCTCAGAAGGCCTGGAACGGGGAGCTGAGCTCTCTTCCAGTCACTAGTAGAGCGAGTCCGGCTAAGGCAGGGTAAGAAGTCAGTGGTCAGGCAGCGTGGGGTTGGGGGTCACCACCTGGAGGATGGGGTCCTGTATTCTTCGGAAAATGGCTGGGAAATTCTTCCCTCCATTGCGTAGAACTTTCTTTCCTTCCTCAGTTGACGTGCCTAGATGTTCCACGATGGGATCTTCACTCTGCAGAGAGAGAGTCCGGCATGTCCCTCCCTGCCCACCTTCCACACTGTCCTGGGTCTCTAGACTCCCACTGTCCTGGCCCTAAGCTAAGTTCAAGGACTATGGGACCACTCTGAAGAGGGCTGGGTTCTCACAGCTTCCCTGGGGCATCTCACTTACTAGCTCTTCCAGAGACACACGCTCAAACAGTGGGTGCTCTTCAAAATGGGCACACATCCACTGGTGCAGTTCCAGCACGTCGGTCACAGTGTACACCAGGCCCTGCGCACACAACATCGTTTTAGATCCGGCGGCACATGACTGAGCAGCAGAGGATGAGTGTGAGGACAGAGTGCCTAATGCACCGCCCCCCATCAATTCTTGGTGACGATCCCCGGGGCACCATCTTCTCTCCCAGCCGCTCACCCCAACTTGCAGCACGTAGGCATATTCCGCCAGCAGCGTGGTGCTGATGATTCGCCATTTATGTTTCGTTCGCTTAAAATGCGGGTCGGGGAAGAGGAAGAACATCTTCTTTAGCTGTGGGACCGACCAACAGGGGGCTCGTGAGCGCCTGGCTGCCACGTTCCACCAGTACCCCCCCACACACACACACACACCACACACACACACACACCCCCGGGCAGCTCCTCAGGCCGCACCTGGCCCTTGCGGAAGAAGTTGGGAAGGTGCTTCATGGCGTTACTGCGCAGACAGGCGATGTTCTGGAATCCGCCTCCGGGGGTCGCTCGGAGAGCCCGAATCCTGTCTTGCACGTAGTCCGACACCTTCACCCGGATCTCCAGACCCAGGATCAGGGTGTCTGGGAAGAGTGGTGACAGTGCCACTGGGGACAGAGGCGGCGATGGGGTCGTCAGTGCCAGATTTGAGGAAGTACAAAGAGGTTAACCCAGGAAAGAAAGTTTCTGTCTGCGGATGTCTAAGTTAGGAGCCAGGCAGAGATGCCCACTCCCTGCAGAATTCTCTGCAGGGGACAGGGAAGACACAAAACTGTCACACTGTCACAGGAGCCACAGGAGCAGGGTGTGGCGGCTCAAGCCTTCAATCCTAAGCATTGGAAATAGGGGAAGGGGGACAGAGGCAGGCAGGATCTCTGTGAGTTCAAAGCCAGCTTGCTCTATATAGCAAGTTCTAGACCAGACAGGGCTACACAGTGAGACCCTGTCTCAAAAAGTAAAATAAAATCAACAAAAAAAGATCTGTCATATAGACTAGAATAAAAAGGCAGAAACTACAGTTTACATTTGCTTTAGAGCAGTGGTCCTCAACTTTCCCGATGCTGCGCCCCTTTAATACGGTTCCTCATGGTGTGGTGACCTCCAACCATAAAATTACTTCATAGCTACTTCATAACTGTAATTTTGCTACTGTTATGAGTCGTAATGTGAATGTCTGATATGTTACCCCCCAAAGAGTGATGACCCACAGGTTGAGAACCACTGCTTTAGAGTTTCCACAACGAAGTCTCATGTAATCCTTTTCACATTCTCTGGTAGACTGTGAAGGTGGGGAGACTGAGGGTCAGAAATGCTCAAGATCATAGATTTAAAGCAGGAGAAAGCTCGGACATGAGGCAACACTTCCAGTCGCTACTACACTCCTCTTCTCTCTTATTCTGTTATCTGTCTATGGGGCAAGATCGAAACACAGGCGAGTGGTTTGGCATACATGCTCTGGAAAACAAAGACAATATAACAGGAACCCCAAAACACGAGAGAGTGGAGCAGAATGTGTTCTGGTGAGGACGGGGGTAGGAGGGGGGGAGCTGGTGGAATCCCCAAGAAAGACGGTTCAGGATCACTGGCCACAGTAGCTGATCTCTGACGTTTGTGCTGACCGGCTCACTGACCCAGCACAGGGCAGGTGAAGCTCATGCAGGGACTGGAGCCAGACAGAACAACCCAGCTTCTAAGACACACTTTGAGGAGCCCCCTCCCTGCTCCAGGGCGAAGGCCACAGACCCAGAGGAGAAGGGAGATGGAGGCCCTGCACACTGATGTCATTGCCGTCTGGTGGCAGGAGGAAAGGTCAATTAACCCTGCCTCTAACCTGCTGAGACGGCAGAACCCAGGCCTGCCCTTGCCCCCGGGAAAGGACCAGCACGTTACCTAACAAGCCACCATAGCCACAGCCGATGTCTGCAAACTCCACTTGGGCCCGGGACTGCTCGTCTCTCTTATCCTTTGGATCATCGTGGCTCTTATTTTGAGTTAGCGGAGCAAAGAACTCTGGGTAAAGCTCAGACCAGTCCATCTCCTCTGGCTTCACGGGGCTATTGGGAAGAAGGCAGGAGACATATGAGACGGTTGGACACACCACTGCAGACGCGCTTCCGTGGGCATGGAAGGCGGATGGTAGCTTTCGCAAAACATCCACAGTCACGGGCCATGTGGTCTCTCGAAGGCACAGTGGAAAGTCCCCTGGCTCCCAGGGTGTCAATCACAGTCCCTTCGTGAGGCTACGATTGCTGACGTGTGATATGATCTCCACTTCTGGGTACTGACGTGTCAGGGAGGTTTCCTTTCTGGGACTCAAGGTTCTTTTTCCCAGAGACTGACTGCCTGACTGCCTAAGGCATTGGAACACTACTCTGTTGATGTGTTTTCCGTGGAGAGGACGAAGCAAGGAGTGTGTGTGTGTGTGTGTGTGTGTGTGTGTGTGTGTTTATCTTTTTAGAAACAAACAAACAAATAAATAAAAGCAAATCGGAGCCGGGCGGTGGTGGCGCACGCGTTTAAATCCCAGCACTCGGGAGGCAGAGCCAGGCGGATCTCTGTGAATTCGTGGCTAGCCTGGTCTACAGAGTGAGATCCAGGAAAGGCGCAAAGCTACACAGAGAAACCCTGTCTCGAAAAAATACATAAATAAATAAAAATTAAAGTTAAAAAAGTCGGAAGGTGGAAATGACAGCGTGCTTCGCTTTCCTTTTAGTTCCAGTAATATTTTTCTCAGGTTTGGTTGGCGAGTCCACCCCGACGTGTGACCCACAGCACCGCGACCCCCCCAACCCCCGGCCGGTCAACTCCGCCTTCCGCCGCGTCTTCCACGCGCCGCCCTCAACGGACGTGTCACCGGGACCACCCGCCCCCCGGGTCCCCCGGCGCTGGGGCCAGCCTCCCGGCCCCCCCAGGCCCGCTCACTAGCACAGCGTGTGGTCCGCCATGGGGTTGGAGTGCGCGCGCTGCCGGTAATAGCGCTTCTGCGGCGGGGGCGCCTCGGCTCCCGCCATGATGCCACGGGGCCCACGTGGAGCGCCGCGGCCGCGGGCGCAGGCTGATGACGCAGCCCCGCGGGCCGCCGGCCGGCCCCGCCCCTTAAAGCACCAAGGGCCAATTCCGCGGCCCTCTCTCCCGATGGGAGGACCCCGAAGGGAGCGGGCGTGCGGGGATGGATGGATGGATGGATGGATGGAGAGCAAGCGCGCTGCTCGTCTCCCAGCTGGCGGGAAGGCCAGCTCCCGGCACCCCGCCTTTCCTCTTGGCGTGCTTCGGCCGGAGCCTGAGCTCCCCGGTGCCCACGGGCACCTGTGCGCCCCGCAGGTGAGCGCGCGCTCCAGCCCCGTGGCGGGGGGGCCACACTGACAAGTCGCACCAAGCATCCTTTCTTCTCTCTCCTGGTGCTCTCAAACCGAGGCAGCCGGGGCTGACCTGGGTGGGTGGTGCGCTGCGTGGGTCCCGTTCTGTGTGCGCCCCGGGACCCCACCTCGGGGGGTGGGGAGGTCGTTCCCCGTCCATCTCCAGGAAGTCCAGCTGGAGGAAGCAGGGCGAACTGGGGAGGCGGGGCCCGGTGCCTGGGAGCAGCCCAGATGGCTGGCAGTCCCCAGCCTCAACGCAGCCAGGGACTCGGATGCCCGCGCTGGCCGAGGTGGTGCTCGGGTGCTCTCTCTCTCTCTCTCTGTCTGTCTGATGGCCAGCTCCCGCCCGGATCCCGAACCCGAGCCCGAATCCGTGTTCCCACGCGAGGTCCGCCTCTTCACCGACTCTTACTCGGAGAGCAGCCGGTTCTGCTTCTGTGGGCACGAGCTGAGCATCACGCAAAACTTTGGGTCGCGCCTTGGGGTGGCGGCACGCGTGTGGGATGCGGTGAGGAAGGGGTTGCCCTAAGTGAGGGTCCCTGAGAGGTCCAGTCCCCGGACCCCGCCTCTCCCATATGGAGCCCTGACAGCGTCCCTCTCTCTCTTCCTTTCCTTCCCCTCGTAGGCTCTGAGCCTGTGTAACTTTTTCGAGAGTCAGAATGTGGATTTTCGAGGCAAGAAGGTGATCGAATTGGGCGCTGGGACGGGCATCGTGGGAATCCTGGCGGCGCTGCAGGGTGCGTGAACTGGCATTGCGCTGGGGCGGGGCGGGGGGGCTGGAGTGTGGAGAAGTTAATACGTGGATTCCTTGGGGGTGGGCAGGGCTTTTGAACGCAGCTCAGTTCTTTCGTTTTAACAAACCCCTACTTTTCTGTGAGGCAGACTGCGCTGATTGTGGAGTTCAGAACACCCAGGATAGTTGGTTCGAGGGTGGGTCAAACAAATCAGATAGAGATTCCATGGAAAATGCTGGAGACGCTCTTCCGTTAAAATGCATATGGGTGTTTTGAAGGGAGAAGAGACCTGGGGCGCAAAGCTTTGTAGCTTCCTTATGTTAGAGTCTCTTGAATTTTATCTTCTTTTCTTTTCTTTTCTTTCTTTCTTTTCTTTCTTTCTTTCTTTCTTTCTTTCTTTCTTTCTTTCTTTCTTTCTTTCTTTCTTTCTTTCTCTCTTCCTCTTTTTCTTTCTCTCTTCCTTTGTTTCTTTCTCCTCTCCCTCTTTCTTTCTGTGGAGGAGTGCACTGGAGTGTGGTCTGGTCGAGACAGGTTCTCTTGTTGCCCAGGCTGGCCTAAAACTCTTTATGTAGAGGAGATTAGCCTTAAATTCCTGGTCCTCATGCCTTGATTTTCCAAGTGCTTTTTTACAGGTGTGTACCACCATACCAAATACAGCCTTAGGTTTTTATTGCTAGGACAAACAAGGTTATGAATTTTGGAGGGCTAGGGTGGGATGATGATGTAGAGGGTAATTAATCAGCTGAGACTTGGGAAAGGAAAGGGTCAGGAAAATTCTGCTTCGGTTTTATAAAGAGCCAGAAACTAAAAAAGTTCCTTACCTTGTTGTGGTCTAAGCCATGCAAACTAGGATGTCCTTGTTCCTAGGGACAGAACTGGGTCACATTAAGGGAAAAGTCTTTGCAGAGGCAGACATTTATTCTTCGATTCATTCAGTCAACATGTATTCTAAGTCCTCTGTGTGCCAAGAAATGTGCTGGGGGCTGAGGATTTGACATCGAATAAGAAGAATTTCCACTTTCCAAGGAACTTGTAGTCTAGTGAGGGACAGTGTGAGAAGATGCTATGGTACATACTCGATTGGGAGGTATGTGTGGCATGGGTGTGCTCTGGCCAGAGCTGTCACTGCTGAAGGAGGTCCACCCAGGAGAGCTCTGACAGAGGAGGAGTTGAGGGTGGGTGGTGGATGAGAGTCAGAAGGTTACGTTAAAAGGAAAGAAGCCAAGGATTGGGGTTCGTGCCTGTAATCCCAGCACTCAGGCAGCCGAGGTGGGAAGGCTGCTGAGACAAAGGGCCAGCCTGGGCTACAGCATAAGACCTTGTCTCAGGTAGGAAGGGAGGGAGGGAGGCAAGGAAGAAATTGTGTGTGTGTGTGTGTGTGTGTGTGTGTGTGTGTGTGTGTGTGTGTGTGTGAGAGAGAGAGAGAGAGAGAGAGAGAGAGAGAGAACACCTGTCTTTATTACTGGTAGACCAGCGGCTGCTTTTTTTGTGCCCTGTTCAGTTTCCAAGTCCAAAATCTGGGTGTCATCTCCTATTTTCTTACTTTGTATCCCAGAAATCAGCCGGCCCTGCCTTCTCAATACTTGCACAACTGTTTATTCCTTGTCCCACCATATTTAGTTAGGACACTAACTGCTTTTTGCCCTGACTTTTGTAAGTATCTTTATGCTTCTGGATGGGAAAGGCTGGCACTCCCAAACTGACCCTGTGATTTCCCCCCATCAAACCTGTTTCTCTCTCAGGCTCTCCTGTCATGAAGCCACCATCCACCCAGTGTGGAACCTAGACATTGCCTCTGTCATGTCCCTGCTTCTCATCATCAAACCCTTCATGTCCTGTGGGTTTTAACTCCTACAAATCTCTTGGATTTTCTTGTGTTTTCTCGACTCGGCTCCGGGCTCCCCAGCCTGAGCCTCCACCATGTGCTCAGACTTATAATAAGTAGTCAGACTGGTTGGTCTTCTTGCTTCTGGCCCCCACCTAGATCCTGGCTCGCACCACCCTACAATCAGAATGGCTTCTTCGAAACGCAGCTATCTTCATCACACCCCACCAACTCGCCTCCTGGTCCTGACTTCTTTCAGGGTGGAAGTGACCCCTTTAACCTGGCTGCCAACGTCCTGCCTCGCTCTCTCGCCTCTTTCTGTGCCTCTCCCTGGCCTCTTCTCCTCTCTTTTCTCTTCTGTCCCTTCTGCAAACCTGCTTTGATGTCTCCTTCCTTAGGGACTTCACGGGGGCTGCACTTTCTGCTTGCAACCGTTTTATGGCTTGGTTAATGCAGATGTATTCTTCATTGCTAGGCTCAAACAACCCTTCCAAGGGAAGGAAGGCTTCCTGCCTCCCCCCACCCCCAGCCCAGGCTGGGTTAGGCCCTCTTAGTGCCCACACAATTGTACTCATTAGACTCATTTTAATCTTGTTTTCACTGAGCTCAGGTGGGTCCTTGTGCTACCCAGCTAGCTTGTCAAATTTCCTTTGCCCATTTATTCTTTCAGGATCCTAGACATCTGTTCTCTCTCTCTCTCTCTCTCTCTCTCTCTCTCTCTCTCTCTCTCTCTCTCCCTCCCTTCCTCCCTCCCTCCCTCCCTCCCTCTCTCTCTTTCGTATGAGTGCTCTATCTGTGTGTATACCTGCATGCCAGAACAGAGCATCAGATCCCATTACAGATGGTTGTGAGCCACCATGTGAGATTTGAACTCAGGTCCTCTGGAAGAGCAGTCAGTGCTCTTAACTGCTGAGCCATCGCTCCAGCCTGACATCTGTTTCTTTTCTGTTTTTGTTTTTCAAGACAGGGTTTCTCTGTGTAGCCCTGGCTGTCCTGGAACTTACTCTGTAGACCAGGCTGGCCTCTAACTAACTGAGATCATTTGCCTGCCTCTGCCTCCCCAGTGCTAGGATTAAAGGCGTGCGCCACCACCGCCCGGCTCGACATCTGTTTCTTAACTTTCTTATTCTTCAAACTGTGAATGTTTCTTCTGCATTATCACTCTTATCTGATGACTCTCTCTCTCTCTCTCCACACACACACACACATGCACACGTACACACATTCTATATGCAGAGTGTGTCTATATGGGGCATTGTATGTCTGTGTATATGTTATGTATGTACATAACTATGCTGAAATTCCTATTGTGGGGGAGGGCAGTGGCTGATCCTCCATCTCCTGAGCCATTTTTCTGCTCAGGAGAGAACACATCCGAATGTTAAGGTCACTGTAGGGGCTGGAGAGATGGCTCAGCAGTTAAGAGTGTTGGCTGCTCTTCCAGAGGACCTGGGTTCAATTCCCAGCAACTGTATGGTGGCTCACAGCCATCTGAGGTGAGATCAGATGCCCTCCTCTGGTGTGCAGGTGTACATGCAGACAGAGCACTCTTACACATAAAATAAAAGTCACTGTGGTTCCTCTCCTTCTGTTCGTTCCTCAGTCCACTCAGGTAGACTTTCCCTCCCTCTGTGTCTCTGCTGGGGTTCTGAGCTTCACTTCTCACCCCATGGTTTGAACTCAGGAGTCAGTTTCTAGCCCACTCCAATTGACTTATCATTTGACAATGATACTCTTCTCTCCTTGAAAAGTCCTTTGCTTTCTGGGCCAACACACTTCTGGCTTCCACCTACATTGCTGGCACACTTTTCCATTTTTTTTATTGATTCCTTTTCATCCTTACGACAGGAACTTTGAGTGCCCAGAGCTCAGGAGTAGCCCTTTTGACCCCTTATTTCTCTCTGTCTAGGCCCCCTCCTGAGAAGTCACATCATTTTGTGGCTTTGAGTGTCCTTTTTATGGTGAGGACCAGGATTCCATCATCTCTATATCCAGACTCGTTTACATAACCCACTGCCTTTTTGAATATTTTCATGTGCTTGTTTGATGGACGTTTCAGACTTTGCTCACCAATGACATCATGCTCCCGTTTCCAAGCCTGCCTCTCCTGAAGCCCTCTGCATTTACATAAATGGGCAACTTGGCCTGAGTTAGGCCAAATGTTCAAAAGACACCCTTAGTCAAAATAAACTAACCCTCCCTCCCTCCCTCCCTCTCTCTCTCTCTCTCTCTCTCTCTCTCCCCTCTCTCTCTCTCTCTCTCTCTCTCTCTCTCTCTCTCTCTCGCGCGCGCGCGCGCGCGTGTGTGTGTGTGTGTGTGTGTGTGTGTGTGTGTGTGTGTGATAGAGAGAGAGGGAAAGAGAGAGAATCAGCTTGTCAACATTGACAGCAGCTTCAGAATATGTTCAGGACTTGACTACATCTCAGTCACTGTCACTGCCCAATTTCTAACCAACGTCGTCTTTCCCCTCCTGACTAATGCTCCTGTTTCTGTTCTTGCCCTGCTGCAGTTATGTGTGTGTGTGTGTGTGTGTGTGTGTGTGTGTGTGTGTGTGTTTTCTGCCTGCATGTGTGTACCATATGGGATCCTGGTGCCTGAAGAGGTCAGAAGAAGGCACTGGATCCCCTGGAACTGGAGTTACAGATGGTTGTGAGCCACTACGTGGGTCACGTGATAGGAGTCAAACCTGGGTCCTCTGCAAGAGCAACAAGTGCTCTTAACTGCTGAGCCATCTCTCCGGCCAGGTTGTTTGTGTGTTTTTAATCACAGCAATCCAAGTGCTGAAGTGTAAACCCTGAGTCAGTGGGCTACCCCTCCGCTTCAGACTCTCCCCTCCCCTCCCTCACCGCGGGGTGTGGCCCCTCTGCCCCCTCACTCTGCTCCTGCTGTGTGTGCCCTTGCTGCTAGATCTCCACACCTTGCCAGGCACGGTCCTGCCTCAAGCTCTCTGTGCCGCTGATCTGGTGTTTGGTAGACTTCAGCCAGGGAGAGCTCCGTCCCTGCCTGCCTTCAGGTCTTTCCTAATAATGCTTAAGGAGGATTTCCCCTTAAAGGTGTGCTCTGTGCCCTCACCCTCAAAGGATTCATACCTTTCCCTGCTCGGGCCTCACTGTAGCACATAATACTATTTGATGTACTGTGTGTCTTATTTCGTTCTTTGCTTTGTTTTTTTGAGACAAGGTCTGCTGTAACCCAGGTTGACCTGAAACGCCTCGTCTTCTGGCCTTTACTTCCCAAGCGCTGGGATTATAGGTGTGAGCAACTAGGCCCTCTTTCTTTTTGGTTTGTTGACAGTGTGTCTTGCCATGCAGCTCCAGACGGTCTAGGACTAACAGTCCTCCTGCCTCAGCCTCCCAAGTGCTCTGATTGCAAACAGGTGCCATTGTGCTCGGGGTCATTTCCAGTGGTCCTGTCACCTTTTCTTGCCCGTTTTAGTCTTTTTTTTTTTTTTTTTTTTGAGACAGGGTTTTCTTTGTGTAGTCCTGGCTATCCTGAACTCACTCTGTAGACCAGGCTGGCCTCGAACTCAGAGATCCACTGTCTCTGCCTCCCGAGTGCTGGGATTAAAGGTGTGCACCATCACTGTCCAGCACCACTGTTCTTTTTTTTTTTAATTGAAAAAAGTTACATTTGTTTATTGAGAGGAGTGTACTTATCATGTCGTGCAGGTGGAGGTCAAAAAGAACATTTTGTGGGAGGGAACAGTTCTCTCCTTCCACTTTATGGGACTCGGAGATGAAACTCAGATTGTCAGGCTTGGTGGCAACCATCTTTTTTTGGTTTTTGGAGACAGGGTTTCTCTGTGTAGCTTTGGGTCCTTTCCTGGAACTCACTCTGTAGACCAGGATAGCCTCCAACTCACAGAGATTTACCTGCCTCTGCCTCCCGAGTGCTGGAATTAAAGGTGCGAGCCACCACTGCCCAGCAGTGGCAAGCATCTTTATCCACTGAATTACCTTATTGCCCTATTCCCCCTTTTTTTGAAACAGGGTATCATGTAGTCTAGGCTGGCCTCTAACTATGTAGCCAAGGATGACCTTGAACTTCTGATCTGGCTGCCTGTTCTTTTCTAGTGTTGGGAATACAGGCATGTACTATCACTTCCATTCTAAAAAAATAATTACTTAATTTGTTTATTTGAGGGAACAAAAACCGAGGGCCTTTTGTATTCTACCAACTGAGCTACAATCCCAGCCTGCTCCCTTTTAAAAATTTATTAATTTTTAAACATTATTTTTATTATTTTGAATTATCTGTAGGCGTGTATGTCTGCATATAGGTTATATAGGTTTGTGCCCATGAGTGCAGATGCCATCAGAGGCCAGAGGCTCATATTCCCTGGAGTTATAGTTCAGACCATTGTGAGCCGCTTGATATAGGTGCTGGTAACTGAACCTGGGTCCTCTAGAAGAGCAGCAAGTGCTCTTAGCCACTTACCTGTCTCTCCAGCCCTCCTCTGTTTCTCTGAGTCAGGGTCTCACTGCGTAGCCTAAGCTGGTCTCCAACTGATGGCTGTTCTGACTCTGCTTCCCTAGTGCTAAAGTCCCAGGCCAGTGCTGCTACCATCACGCTCAGCCCTTGGCCCTCTTCTGTAAACTCCACGAGGGCTGGATTCTTACCTGTCTTGCTCACTGAGGTGTTCCAGACACCGCCTGGCATCCAGACCCATGGTGAGGATGCGTGAGTGAGATCTTATTATTTCTGCTTTCTCTGCTATTAATCGTGCTTCTGCTTAAGTGGTTACTTTTGTGGAATTGCGAGTGTTTCCATGTCTAGAATGAAACTTTAGGGAGGCCATTAGGAGGCCTTGCTTCCTGTTGTATCCCCAGCATTTAGCAAGTACTCAGTACAAACGTTCGTTGTGTGACTATTCTGTAATACTGATCTGATCGTCTTCACCCCAGATTCTGCTCTTAAAACCTCTTTCTTGGACTGGGAATGCAGCTCTGTGGCAGAGTGCTTGCTTAGCATGTGAACACTCTTTCAAGCCTGACTCTCTTTAACATGTCAAAGTCCTCATTGTGGGTCTTGACATTTTAGAGCAGCGGTTCTCAACCTTCCTAACGCTTCGGCCCTTCAATACAGTTCTTCATGGTGTGCTGACCTCCAACCATAAAACTGTTAATTTTTTTTTTTTTTTTGCTGCTTCATAACTAATTTTGCTACTGTCATGAATCGTTAAGTAAACATCTGTGTCTTCCGATGGTCATTTGAGGGTCAAGACCCACAGGTTGAGAACCCCTCTTCTGGACTCTAGCCCTCCTTAACTACGCCGTGCCCTTTCCTGCCGGGTGCTTGTACTCTCTTCTCTGCTTGGAAAGCCTCACCTGACTGATTTGTGTCCCTTAGGGCTCAGCGGAGGTCACGTCTTCTGAGGCTGGGTGGGTAGACGGGTAGGGGGGGGATGCCCAGCTCACCCCCAGTTTAGTCTTCTTGCCCAGGCTTTTGCTGACATCTGGTTGTTGTGCATTGGCCAGAGAGGTTGAAGATTAGCCCGGAGAGAATGTTGATGTTGTAGAATGTAGAGTAACGAGAGTGGTATGGGTGAGGCTGAGGCAACTAAGGGCCAGTGAACTTCGGGCTGTCCAGACGTGAGGCCCTGAGGCCTCTGGACCCTCTAGGCAGGAGTCATGAGCCCTGTCCCGGTCCCTCTGACTTGGATTTCTCCTCCTTGATCTCCCTCAGGGGGGGATGTTACCATCACTGACTTACCACTGGTCCTGGAGCAGATCCAGGAGAATGTCCGCGCTAACGTGCCATCTGGAGGCCGGGCGAAGGTGTGTGCCTTGTCCTGGGGAATGGACCAGCATGGCTTTCCTGGAAACTATGACTTGGTGCTGGGGGCAGATATCGTGTACCTGGAACCTACCTTCCCACTGCTGTTGGGGACCCTCCAACACCTGTGTGGGCCCCATGGCACCATCTACCTGGCCTCCAAGATGAGGGAGGAGCATGGGACAGAGAGCTTCTTTCAACACTTCCTGCCCCAGCACTTCCAACTGGAGCTGGCCCAGCGGGATGAGGACGCGAATGTCAACATCTATAGGGCCAGGCACAGGGAAGGGAGACCTGCCCGACATCACCCTTCCTGTTGACCTCAGCCCCAGAGCCGTAAACATCAGGACAAAAGGAAAGGATGGCTTGCCTGTCTTCTTTCTTCCCTCCTCCAATTTGTTCCCCTAGGCATTCTCGGGAAGATGCAGGAGGGGCACTGCCTGTTAAAAACAGCAGAGTCCTAGAAGCATTGGGTTTAAAGCCCAAAGAAGGTGTCCAGCACTTGTCTCCAGAGGGGGAGGGCGAGAAGGTAGTCACGATATTTAGGGGTGAGGGAGGTATAGTCGCTGCAGAGAGACTGTCACTGGTCACTCCCAGTTCTCTAAACAGAATGGACCCTTCTGTTTGTTTGTTTTTTGAGACAGGGTTTCTCTGTGTAGATTTGACTCACTGTGTAGCCCAGGCTGGCCTCGAACTCACAGAGATCCGCCTGCCTCTGCCTCCCGAGTGCTGGGATTAAAGGTGTGCGTCACCACTGCCCCGGCCTCAGAATGAACTTTTTAAAAAAGCACATTCTTAGCCAGGGGGTAGTGTGGCATAGGCACTCCAGAGGCAGAGGCAGGTGGATCTCTGGGAGTTCGAGGCCAGCCAGAGCTAATATAGTGAGACCCTGTCTCAAAAACAAAAACAAAAAACATTCTTTGACTTTTTTTTTAAAAGGGGAAAATGAGCATTAGTGATTCTCTTCTACATTCCCAAACATGTAGCTATTGAGAGAGAGCTGGTACCAAGACCCCTCAGAGCTCCTGCTTCTCACCTGCTGTGATATGACTCTCACTAAGACAAGTTTGAGCTGTAGCTCCTTCATCCTCTGCAAAGTTCAGGACCTGATCACAGACTAGCATGTTGTACCCAACTCTGGATTGAGTTCTGGGTTCTTCTGATCTCTGGTTTTTCCTTCCTAATTTGTTTTACCTTCACGTCTCATCTCTGCCCTCTGGGGCAGTCTGGGTAGGGCTCTTCACACTTACCGTTTGGGCGCACAGCTATCGCTGGTGTGTCCGCGGTCATTCTCTTAACCTCCAAACTACTCTTCAGATTCGTGCAGCCTTTCCAGACCCTGCTGGATTGGCTTCTGCTGCGAGAAGGAGCGTCTCTGCTTGGCACGCAGGCTACACCCGCGGGCTCACAAACTTTGTATTTCATTTCCTATTCCTTTTGTATTGCACGGTTAGACAAATTGCAGAAGCTCTACTCTTTGCTCCCTAGCTCTTATGTCTCCACTCTCTACCGGAAGGGCCACTGCTTCAGATAAAACTCACTCTTTGCTTCTAAAACAAAACAAAACAAACAGACAAACCAAAAAACCCTTCTTTTCCTGACTCCTCTATTTGGATGTGATTTCCTTCTTGGGAGATCTTTTAACTGTTTAGGGACCTTATCTTGTCTTACCTGATCTTCATTTCCTGGCCGGTAGATCCCTCGGAGGACAGGGCTGTGGTACAGCGCCCGGCACACAGGTGTTCAGCAGATAGTTTGCTAATTCAGTAATTATTTATTCGGTTTGTTGAAGGAACTCCTTCACCTCTCCAGGTGACCTTGGACAGTTTTCCTGAGCCCACCTACCTACCTCCCGTTTGTCCTAAATGAATATGAAAACTGGAAATAAAGGAACACAAACTGCTACCTACGTGTCTTGTGTTCTTATTTTGTGACAACTTTATCATGCCACTTCTCCGTTTCACCCACGGAGGGGCGGGGTCTTTCGTAAAATGTGTGTGTTTTTTTTTTTTTTTTTTTTTTTTAAAGAAGGGTTAAGCTAATTTTTTTTTATGTGGTGCTTGGGGATCTGAATTCAGAGAAACCCTGTCTCGAAAAACCAAAATAAATAAATAAATATTTTTTTTTTTTTTTTTTTTAAAAACTAGTTTTAAAAAAAAAAAAGAAAGAAAAGAGGCGATTACATTCCTCCAGCCTGCAGGTGGCAGCACCCCCCGCGCGGACACGTTCCGGGAGGATTTTGGCCCTCGCGCCGCGCCGTAGGCCGCCGCCGCCTCCCCCGCGCGCCCGTGGCGGCGGGCGAGTCCGGCTACTGGAGAGGATGTCGCTGCTGCGGTCTCTGCGCCTCTTCCCGGTCGTGTGCACCGGCCGCTCGGTGAGGGCTGCTGGCCCCGGGGCTGGCCGGCGCTCCCGGGTGCCGTGAGCGTGCCCTGCCCGACCCGGGCTCCGCTCCCTCCCGCCCTGCTCGCCCGCGGTGCCCCCCGAGGTCTCGCCCTGCAGACGTGCTGCTCCCCGCCCGGCCAGCTGTCTGTCCAGCCCCGCCCGGCCTGCTGTCTGTCCAGCCCCGGCCGCTCATCCCTCTCTCCTTCCTCCCTGCAGGCGAGGCCGGCCCTGCTGCAGGGGTCCCAGCCGTGGCACACGCTGCACGCCGGGCCCTCGCTGTCCTCGTCAGCCTCCAGCAAGGAGCTCCTCATGAAGCTGCGGCGGAAGACAGGCTACTCCTTCGTCAACTGCAAGAAGGCCCTGGAGGCCTGCGACGGTGATCTCCAACAGGTGGGGGGAGCAGGGGCCGCTCCGCCCGGGGCCACGGCTCGACCGCGCACATCTCTTCCGGGGGCCGTTCTGGGGCCGTGGGGGGCATAGACGGGACCTACTGCCCAGTGTCCCGAACGACAGGGCCCAAGGAGAAGAACTTGGCTTCAACGATGATAGCTTTTACCCTTCGATTTCGTCTTCATTGGGAGCAGGTGACCCAGAATCCCAGAGTTAACTACCAGTATTCCTTGTTTAGAGGGCTGTGGGGTTTGCTGCTGTTTGGAGAACAGTGTTGGTGTAAATTTCGAAGTTAGATGCTAGAGGCGCGCACGTAACTTTGTACATTGCAGTTAACCCTTTAGAGCTGTGTCACTGTGTCTGTATCATGAGAACCCTGCCTTACACAGTTCCTGGTGTAGAGCATTTAGTAGTCGACCGGATTCTGCTATAGAATGCGGGAGTGCAGAAAGAATCAGTTGGTTTGGATATGTTTCTTTGTTTGTTGTTTTGTTTTGTCTTTCAAGGCAGGGTTTCTCTTTGTAGCCCTGGCTGTCCTGGAGCTCACTCTGTAGACCAGGCTGGCTTCAAGATCCGCCCGCCTCTGCCTCCTGAGTGCTGGGATTAAAGGCGTCCGTCACCACTGCCCGACTGGTTTGTTGGATATATTTTATCTTTTTTTTTTTTTTATAGATTTATTTATTTATTATGGACCATGTTCTGCCTGCATGTGTCCCTGCAGGCCAGAAGAGGGCACCAGATCTCATTACAGATGGTTGTGAGCCACCATGTGGGTGCTGGGACCTCAAGACCTCTGGGAGAGCAGCCAGTGCGCCATCTCTCCAGCCCTGGTTTGGATATGTTTGGAAGCACCATTCATTTCTGATTTCTGTGACTGGCTCTTTCCTCTTCCTCTCCCGTTCGTAGGCAGAGGCCTGGCTGCACAAGCAGGCCCAGAAGGAGGGTTGGAGCAAAGCGGCCAAGCTCCACGGGAGGAAGACCAAAGAAGGCTTGATCGGGCTGCTGCAGGAGGGAAACGCGGCTGTCCTAGTAGAAGTGAGTTGTTGGGGTGCTGTATTCGTGAAACAGCGTGTCTTGGACTATAAGGTTTGCGGTAGACTCTTCACGTGCTTAAGGAACCTGTTTGAGACCACGGTGGTGTTTGGAGTTCAGTTCTCAAGGCCTATGGGTTTAAGTGTAGAAATGCACAGGGGTCTCTATGGGAGACGGCCTAGCCACCTAGATCATTTCTCCTAAGTGTGAATCCAGTGCAGCCCTGTTACCTGGAACAGGTAGATTTAGAAACTAGCATCAGGGTGTGGTGGCTGTCACTTGTGAGTTCATTCAGCACTTGGGAGGCTGAGGCAGGAGGATTAGATTACTGTGAGTTTGAGGGCAGCTAGGCTACAACATGAAATTTTGACCCCTTTACCCCTAAAAAAAAATAAATAAATAAAAGAAAATAGATTTTTTTTTTAAAAGATTTTATTTATTTATTATGTATACAGAAGAGGGCGCCAGATCTCATTACAGGTGGTTGTGAGCCACCATGTGGTTGCTGGGAATTGAACTCAGGACCTCAGGAAGAGCAGTCAGTGCTCTTAACCTCTGAGCCATCTCTCCAGCCCCCAAGAAAATAGATTTTTAAAGTCAGTAATTAACTTATTGCTGTGTATTGATGACCGATGAGTGGCGGATTTAGAGGAGGCTGGAGCGTCATGGCTGGTGAAAAAGCGGATGCCGCTGAGGCTCTAGTAAAGGAATGAGATAAGGGATACTAACGATGCTTTGGAGACGTGGTGGTGCATGGGGGTAATTCTAGCACTTGGGAGGTAGAGGCAGGAAGATCAGCTCAGGGTCATCCACAGCTGCTTACCGAGTTCAAGGCCAGCCCGAGACCCTTTCACAAAACAAAAGAGGTTTGGAGCTGGCAGAGGTTAATGGACAGAGTGATTATGGTGTGTAGTACAGGCAAGTGGTGAACTCGTGGTGAACCCTTCAGGGCCTTCTGGGGTCCTCCTGTGGGTGCAGGGTGTTGCCGACTGGCTGCCTCGGCAACAGTCACTTCCCGGTTTCTGCCTCCCCAGAACAAGGGAGCTGCCGCTTTGAAACCCGAGGTCACTTGTTTCTCTTGTGGTCTGCAGCTTGTTCTGTCCGTGCCTCGGCTTGGTCTCCAACCTTCAGGCACTCTTGAGAAACTTAGTCATCAACAGCTTACACAGCAACATCCATTTGTTCCCACAGGTAAACTGTGAGACGGATTTTGTTTCCAGAAATGTAAAATTTCAGCAGCTGGTCCAGCAAGTCGCCCTGGGAACCATGTCTCACTGCCAGAGCCTAGAGGATCAACTCTCCACGTACACTAAAGTGAGTCTGAAGTCTCCTGCTTGCTGAATTTCTCACTCCCAGTCTTAGGGGTCTGCTCTTTTTGGGGTGGCCATCTCTTTATGAGGGTGCTTGGGGGGGGGGTCCAGCTCTCGCTGCCTTACTTGGTGACCCTGAAGAAACTCTTCCCAGAAGATTTCGCCTCGATGATGCTGATTTCTTACTCATCACAGCCCATTTCTCAGTCCCGGCCAGAAGGCATCGTTTGTCCCTGTAATGCAAAGCTTTCAGGGCAGTGGTCCTGGTCTCTAGTTCACCACAAGCTGATACTTCAGCCCCAGCTGATCAGAATACCCATGAATGACTCAGAGTCTTTAAAGGAACTCTTTTAGAAAAAAAGAGAAGAGATATCTTATTCGCTGTTTTAAAGATATTTTTATTACATTATTCTTATTACCATATACTTACTGGTGTGTGTGTGTGAAGGTCAGAGGTCAGCCTGACAGGACTCTGTCCTTCGACCATGGTGGTTCTGTGGCAGCTCAGGTGGTCCACCTGGCAGCACACGCCTTTACCCACTGAGCCGCATCACCGGTCCCCTCCTAATCCTTCCTGAAGCTCGTTATTATTTCCTGTACAGAGTTTATTTTACGTTTGTTTGTATGCACCTGGGTGCCCACAAAGGTCAGAAGAGGATGTTAGATCCTGGAGCTGGAGTCACAGGTGGCTGTGAGTCGCCCAGGATGGTACTGGGAACTGAACTCAGATCCTCCGGAAGAGCGTTACGTGCTCTGAACCTCTGAGTTCCCTCTCCAGCCTTGAATCCCATTCTCCTTTCCTTTTTTAAGATTTATTTTTATTTTATGTGTATGAATGTTCTAACTATACAACCCACCACGTGTGTACAGTGCCCTCAGAGGCCAGGAAGGGCACTAGGTCCTCTGGAACTGGAGTTAGCACCATGTGAGTGCTGGGAATTGAACCAGGGTCCTCTGGAAGAGCAGCCAGTGCCATCTCTCCAGCCCCCCTCCCCCACCCCCTATTCTTATCTACTTCTGTAGATAGGCAGGCTCATTGGATCATGCTTTTACTTTTAAGTATTTTTTGTTGCAAAAGTAAGTGTAAATGTACACTGATTTCTGGTACAGATGGTGACAGGTAGACTTGGTTTTTCATTTGTTGTGTGTCATGGAAACAGTTCACAGCGGTTCGTAAAGATCGTCCTTTGTTTGAGACGGTGTCTCGAGCAGGCTTGGCCAGCGTTAGCCACCCTGTGTAGCCCAGGCTAGCCACGAGCTTCTCGTCCTCCTGCCTCCTCCTCCCAAGTGCCAGGATTAAGGCACACACCGCCATATTCGTTATTTCTTTGTCTTTTTCCTAGCTGCATAGTATTCTGTCGTGTGGATGTGCCATGGATTATTCAGCCTATCTCCTGTGTTTGGGCATTTCGGCTATTGCCAAAATTCAGTGATCAGAAATAATTGCTCAATGAATAATCTCATGTATATGTGCTTTAAAAGAAAAACTCATACTCATCAAGCCGGTTCTGGTGATTCGAATCTCTAATCCCAGCACTTGGGAGGCGGAGGCGGGAAGATTTCCAGGAGTTTAGGATCAGCCTGGGCTACAGTGTGAGTTCCAAGCTTTTCAAGACTACAGAATGTGCCTCTGTCCCCCCAAAATAGTAATAAAACAGGAAATGAGTCCTCACGTCCTCAGCACTAGAGCCACAGAGTCAAGGGCTGAGTGCCCAGCTGGACACTGCTCTGTCGCCGCCTGCTTGGGCATCCTCATGAGTTCCTGGCAACACACCCCAAACCCGCTAGTGTCGATACGTTCTGATTGTGTAAAATCCCGGTCCCGGTCCTCAGGAAATCCTAAGAAGGTAGGCTAAGGATGAGAGAGTCCAGTGGAGTGGCGTGGTGCGGTAGAAAGTAAGATTTATGAGTGTGACGACGCTGTCCCTTTTTAACATCCTTGGCTTCGCGGAAGCTTCATCTCTTTATAGGTGGTCGGTCGTCTTAACCATCTTCCTGGACGTCGGCTCTCTCTGCCTGTCCTCTGATTCCGGGGGTGCAGAGCCAGCTCACTCTTGTCTCCTGTTCTTAGGGCTTCCTGAACTCCTCTCAGCTCTCTGAACTTGCGGCCGGGCCCAACCAAGAAGGCTCTCTCAAGGATCACTTGGCCTTAGCAATTGGTGAGTATCCGAGGGTTCTGGAAAGTGGACGTCAGGATCTGGTTTCCTTGGTGTCCAGTGTCCCTCCAGATGTCACGCACTGTGACCTCAGGTCAGGCGGTGGAGGCAGGTGGTGGGAGCGAATATGATGGAAACGTGTCGTACACATGTATGACATTCTCAGTAATAATTTAAAAAAAAAAGAATTACAAGCTCATGTGGCAAGAGTATGTGAACATGGGTTGGCCTTGCTGCGGAGCAGTGGACACCCTGAAGAGCCAAAGGAGGCACCATCCCCAAGTTCCAACCTGTTAGTATATTGAGGAGTTCCGGTACGGTCAGAATCCTGAATTACATAAAGGAGTTTAGGTTTATAAACGAACTCTCATGGTTCTTGGTGGTTTACAACTGGTTAAAATGATTTTATCTCTGTGCTGACTGAACAAAGGCAGACGACGTCTCCTCAGCTCCAGCCGACCACTTCGGTGTGTGCTGTAGGGAGAACATTTAAGGGACTGGAAGGTGGCTCAGCAGTTAAGAGCCCTGGCTGTTCGTCCAGGGGAGCCTGGTTCGATTCCCAGCCATGGTGGCTAGCAACCACCTCTAATCCCTCCAGTCCCGAGGGGTCCTGGCTTCAAGGGCACTGCATGCATGTGGTTCACAGACACGCAGCCTCGCCTTAACTGGAGTGCTCTGCTCTTCTCCCTCCTCCCCTTCCTCCTTAAATACGGGCTGAGGTTGGGGTCTGTGTCTCATTGCGGATCTACCGCACATACAGAAAGGTCGCCGTGCACGCTGGGCCCCATTTCTGCCACCGCAACCCAGTGGTCGCTGTTTCTTGTTCTCTGCTCTTTTATAGGGAACCTGGGAGAAAACATGATTCTTAAGCGAGCCGCCTGGGTGAAGGTGCCGTCTGGGTTCTATGTTGGCTCCTACGTGCACGGAGCACTGCAGAGCCCCTCCCCCCACAACCTGGTGCTGGGGAAGTACGGGGCCCTGGTCGTCTGCGAGACCTGTGAGCAGAACAAAAACCTGCAGGACGTGGGCCGCCGCCTGGGGCAGCACGTGGTGGGCATGGCCCCGCTCTCGGTCGGCTCCCTGGATGATGAGCCTGGAGGAGAGGCTGAGACCAGGATGCTGGCCCAGCCATACCTCCTGGACCCGTCCATCACACTGGGACAGTACGTGCAGCCGCGGGGTGTGTCCGTAGTGGATTTCGTCCGCTTTGAATGTGGGGAGGCCGAAGAGGAGGCGGAGGCCCAATAGGGTTTTGGCCTGGGTGGAATATTTATTTTTACATCTGGGTTTCCTTATAAAAAGTTATTTTCTAAACCTCTTCAACCCTCGAATTTGCTTTTTTCTTTTTAGTTTATAGTGAAATGATAGACTCGCAGGTGAAGTTGTTAAGTAGTGGTGTAATAAAGTAGACGTTTCTCGTTTAAACAATACTGGATTTAACTGCTTTTGAAACTTTAAAAAACTGTGTGAGTGTGTGAGTGCACACACACACACACACACACACACACACACACACACACACACACACACACACACGCCAGGCTTGTGTCGTAAGCACTTTGACCCAGTAGGCCGTCTCCTCGGTCCCCACGGTCATCTGTTCCATGTTCCCTAGTTCCTTACACGCTCTGTCTTGTTCCCGTGGCCCTGCCTGCCTGCTGTGCTGTCTTGGACACCTTCCCCGGAACGTGCCCTGCACTGTTCCTCCTGTGATCAGGACTTCAGACGTTGCTGTGCCCCAGGGTTGTCCGGAAGATGTGGTCACTGGCCGATGACCACAGCAGGCCCTCCGAAGTGATCCATACACCCGTGTGTGGCCCTGGAATGGGTGTGGCTGCTGGGGCTGGGGGATTCCTGCGTAGCTGTGAGTCAGGTTTTGACATCTTGTGCCAGGACGGGAACGACAGTGGTTCCGTTAACTACACAGCTCTCAACGTTGCCGTTTATTGATTTGCTTTGGATGCTGGGGATTTGCCTAGGACCTCAGGCGTACTGCTGAGGTGAGCGTTTCACTGCTGCATACTTCTCGTTTTTTAAAGATCTATTTTTATTTTATGTGTATGAATGTTTTGCCTGCATGTGTTCATATGTACCATGTACATGCCTGATGCCTGCTTGAGGTCAGAAGAAGACACCGATTGGATCCCCTGAACCACCATGTGGGGGCCGGGAACTGGACCTGGGTCCTCTGCAGGAGCAGTCAGTGCTCTCAACCCCTGAGCCGTCTCTCCCGCCCTGCACTGTGCACTTTAAAAAAATTCTGAGACCGAGTCTTTGTAAGTCGCTCAGCTTGGCCTGGAATTCACCCTGTAGCCCAGGCTGGCCATGGCGTCGCTATGCGCCTGTCCCGGCTGAGCTGGGAGCTGCGATTACAGGTTTGTGAACCAGGCCCAGCTCAGCATTGCCGCTGTGCTTTCTCAGCACTGAAATGCCTTTCCCACAGTAACTGAAGTCACCCTAAGAAGGAACCCGGGAGACTAGAAAGGACGCCGATGTGCTCACGTGGCCTCTTTATTTGGAAAGTTGAACATGCTCTGGCATGTGGTAGACCTGGGTATTTGGAGTATGGCCTTTCAGTGAGTGTGCAAGGAATTCCAGTGCTTTGGGGGTAACAGGGTATAGTGTAAAAGCAAATGTGGGTCCTGATGGCTTCTGGTTCTCTCCCTCAACCTGTCTACATCCATGCTTTCTGTAAAGGCCACAAAAGCAGAAGAGTGAGTAGACAACATTTTCGTGTATAACAAGCAAGGACTGAATGCAAGGCTGAATGGGAAGGAAAAGGGCGTGCTGTGGATTTCAGATGGGTTGTATCTAAAGCAGCGGATGTCGGGCTCAGTGGGTGTGTGGCGTCTCTGCTGATGTTGGCACCATGCGCTTGCTCTCTCCTGGGGTCGGACAGCAGACAGGCCTTGCTTTAGAAAAGCCCCTTTTCTTTCTTCAGCTGGAGCTGTTTCCAGCCAGGCAGAGCGGTGAATTGCCCTCTTGTGATGCCAAACACGGACACAAAGTCTTGTTCCGAGAGGTAATTCTAAGAGAAAACACAACTTGCAGTGAGAAGGGCATCTCAGGAGGGCCAACAGGGAAAGCGAGTGGGCAGGAGTGGGGGAGCTGCCCCGGGGGCCGGTGGGGGAGCTGGGGGGACGGTGGGGGAGCCGAGCCTGCCCCGGACCCCGTGGAGGAGCTGCCTGGCTCTGGGCTTGTTTACCATGTAAGGGATCCTCCTGCCTGGCTTTGAGCCCTAGAGCTACAAACAGGCAGGCCCTGTATGTTCAGGAAGACTGTAACAGACCTAAATTGCTCATTGGCCATGGAGTCCCATCCGGGCCAGTGGGAGAAGCTGGCGAAGCTTACCAGTCAGTCCTGGTTCCTTGCCCCTTAGGCAGTGAATGGGTTCTTATGTTATGGATGAATTATAAACATCTGATTTTGGAAGGATGGAGAAATGAATGAATGGAGTGTTCTTTGCTTCATGCTCTTAACTACCATTCTTACTGAATACTTACTTTTGGCGCCAGGGAGTGAACCCAGGGGAACTCTGGGGAATCTGGGAATGTGCTCCACCACTGCCCTGTACCCCTAAACCCCAAGAAGTCTTAAAATGCAAGGCTGAGTAGATCATCCCAGCTCGGCGATCATGTTGAGATTATTTTCTGAAACAACCTCTCACCATAGCCCAGGCTGTCCTAGAACTCACTATGTAGGCCATGCTGACTTGGAACCTATGGTGACTCCCCTGCCTCGGTCCCCCTAGTGCTGGGATTACAGTCATGAGCCCCCAAGCCCAACCGACCTGTGGCCTCTGCTTCTAAGAACATTGGAGTCTAGATGCTGAAGACTCGGTCTCAACCTCTCAACGTCACAGAATATCCCGAATCCTTCAGCCAGCTCTTTGAAGGGGAAACCCATTCATTCATCTGTCCCTTCCACAGGAATGTATTGATTCACTTAACTAACACCTAAGGCGTGACAGTGAGTCCAAGGGGAGTGTGTGCCGCAGGGAGGGAGTGGTCAGGAAACTGGGCGTCGAGGAAGGCCAACCAGAGCTGAACTCTGAACGGCAAGGGGCCGGCTCTGAGGTGTTTTAGGAGCAGTGAACTCTCACAGGAACACCAGTAAGCATAAAGACTCCATGGCCAGGTGAGCATGTTCAAGGGTTAGACAAGCAGGCACTGACTGAAGGGGTGGTGAGTAAAGAGGGTATATGAGACCCCCCAAGGGGCAGGGCCAGACTGTGGAGGCCTTTGGGGTCTTCTGTAAGCACAGTGGGAGGTGTTTTAAAGTTTTCTATTACATGTATTTATTTAGTGTGTGTATGTGAGGGGCATGTATTTAGAGATCAGAGGACAAACAACTTGTGGGACTCAGTTATCTCCTCGCACTGTGTGGGTCCTGGGTGCCGAGCCTGGGTCGTTAAGTGTGATGGCAAACGCCTTTACCCTCTGAGCGGTCTCGCCAGCCCGTGAGGTGTCTTAAATAGAGTGGCATCGTCTGCTTTTGAACGGCCCCTGGCTGTTAATGAGGATGATGCTCTGGGAAATAGTGGGGGAACAGAATAGTTCACAGCAGTGCACGGTGGCTGGAGGCGAAGGCCACAGAGAGGAAGACACTCATGGAGGCGCCTTCAGTTGACCCAGTAGCGCAGATGCCCCCAGAGTGCCTGCAGTGTGCCCAGACTGCCCTAAGCCCTTTCTCGAGTGTGGCGCTTTAATCTATGTGGGACCCCCTCACACACACACACACACACACACACACACACACACACACACACACACATGCAGTTCCACAGTCGCGTACCTCCTTTTTGGCAGGGTTCACATCCTCAGGCAGCTCCTGGTTCTGACTTTTCAGTAGAACTTCTATAGGGTAATACGTTGGCCCACTTTCATTAGAATTCAGGGAGAGGGTTGCATTCTTCATGTCCTAAGTGAGGAGAAGGATACAGACATGGGCAAAGATTGACGTCTGGCACGTCAGGTCTCTGCGTGTATAAGGTTTACATTTTGGCTTACGCCGCTGCTTCACCCTTTGTCACCGTCTGAAAGACGGTGGTCCCCAAACCTGGCTGCACGTCAGAACGGCCTCGGAGAGCTGATTCAGCGGGCCTCCTGTGAGTGTTTAGAGCCAGGTGGGCATGCACACCGCACCTTAGGTCTTTACGTGGCGCTGGGAATTGAACCCAGTCTTGGGTGTGCTCGGCAGGTGCTCTGCCACTGAGCCGTACCTCCAGCCGCAAGTCTTTTCCGAACATTCTGCCTCCATCCCTTTTCTTGGCATTTTTATTTAGGTCCTATGTTTCCAGTCGCTCAACGCCTTGAGACTGGAGCCACCACGCTCGAGGACGGTTTAAAGACACTCACTGCAGCCCGTTAGCTCTGGGGTCTGACTTTGCAGAGCACAAAGGACAGCTTGATGTCGGAACGCCCTGTGCCACGCAGCCTGTGGCACGCAGGACTGGCCGCTGGCTGCAAGGGCCACCTCTTTTAGCTGTTAAAATCGGGGTCAGCGGCCTGAGCTGCTGTGGACACGTTGGGAACTATTCAGATATCATTTGGATTAGAGGTTTGTCTCTGAGAAATACTGACAATAACTTTAATCTCTCCTGAGAGGCAGAAAAAGCTGAATAATAAAGTTAGGTTTGTTTGTTTGTTTCTTTCTTTCTTTCTTTCTTTCTTTCTTTCTTTTTTCTTTTTTTTTGGTTTTTTGAGACAGGGTTTCTCTGTAGCTTTGCGCCTTTCCTGGAACTCGCTTTGTAGACCAGGCTGGCCTCGAACTCACAGAGATCCGCCTGCCTCTGCCTCCCGAGTGCTGGGATTAAAGGTGTTTCTTTCTCTCTCTCTTCTTTCTTTCTTATTTGGTTTGGTGTATGAGGCAGAGTCTCGTGTATCCCAGGCTGGCCCTCCACTCAGTATGTAGCCAAGGATGACCTTAACCTCTTTCATTTATTCTGTAGATTGTGTATTTGGGGGGGGGGGCAGTATATGTGCACACGAGTGCAGGTGCTCTTGGAGTCCAGAGGGATATGTACTTCCAGAGATGGAGTTACAATCTCCTGTGAGCCACCCAACACAGGTGCTGGGGATCTGGACTAGCAGCTCCTGCTCTCCCCGCTGAGCCGGCTCCCCATATTCTGGGAAGCAGTAAATGAGGAGCCTGGCCCTGAGACCTGCTTTTTCTTCCCCTCCTTCACCCCGCCCCCCTCTTTTTTAAGATGGAGGTTTCGCTGTGTAGACTAGGTTGGCCTAGAACTCGGGATTCTTCCTCTCAAGTGCTCGAGCCCTGCTTTTCTAATGATTTAAAACACCCCCAAGGATGGGGGTGATCCAGCGGTAGAGCGCCCCATTAGCTTGCACTTCAAACAAAACAAACATAAACCCTTTGCATCCAAGTAGACCGCTGAGGGGGGTAGGGATGGGGGGGAGAGGGGA